ATTAATTTCAGTTAAAAACAAAACAAATTTTAATACAAAAAAGGAAAAATGAAACACAAATCTCCTAAAATGAAAGTACGCAGAAGAAGAAAAAATCTTATATTTGCCTCCATATTTATTTTGTTCTTATCGTCAACAGTTTGTTGAAAATAATTTTTTTCAGTGTGTATATAAAGCAGTAGTGTTTCAAACATGTTTCTTCTGCTAAACAAATGAAATAATTATTGAATAGTTATTAAAAGTGGAAAAAAAAACATTCTAAATTGATGTTTCTTTACATATTTTGTTGCGTTGTTTGTGGGTTTGCAAGGCCAGAAGCTGAGGCTATTTGGGGGCCATGGGATGGAAAAGTCTGGGAAGCCCGGGTGTAAATTATTTTATTAAAAAAAGGCACAAATCTTCCTTGACCATTGAGCAGTAAAATTTGGTATACTGTATGTTTTAAGATATTAGTTTCCATTTATTTTATTGTTTCTGGTCTTGGTTTCGACTTGGTCCGGCCCCTAAAAGACTCGGCCTTGTCTCGGTCTCGATACACTCTGGTCTCAGGTGGTCTTGACTACAAGAAGGATTTACTCGCATTGTGCCCCGGTGCTTTATGACCCTATTTCTTCAAAGGTTGGATCTGGACTCGGGAGTCTCAGTCGGAGATCCAGAGGGTTAAAGCGCAGTACGACAAAGACGTGGCCACAGTAAAAAGCGACATGGAGGCGCGCTACCGGGATACGCTGACGGAGAGCTGCAGGGCCGTGGCCACGCTGGAGCTGGAGCTGGAGAAGGAGAGGCAGAGGGTCAAAGGCTACCAGCAGGCTCTGGTCTCCCACAGTCAGCATCTCATTCAGGAGCGGAAGCAGCTGGAGAAGGTAAAGCTTCACGGTGCTTTTCTCTCGCCTCTCAACGTCTTCTCTCGTGTAACTGTTTCTGCTCTCACCTTTAAAAGGAGCGAGAGGCCTTAAACGATGAGAAGCAGAGGATGGTGAAGTCCGGCGCTGCGGCGGCGGCGCTGCACGACGCCCTGGAAGAAGAGAATGGGTGGTACCGGCGGGCCACGGCCGCTCTGAAGGAGCTGGATGGCCTGCTCGTGGAGCGACAGAATGCTTACTGCTCCGTCATCCAGCCTCGAGAGCAGCGTCTGGAGATGGAGAAGAACATGCTGCTGAAGGTGGTCAAGGATCCCACCGTGGCGGCGCTGGACCTCGAGTCGGACCTGAAGGATATCTTTAAGAGAGACAAGCACTGTGCAGATCTGCTGAACATGGACAAAAGGAAGAACGGCAGCCTGATGTGGGTTTACCTGCAGTACTGGCAGCTGCAGATCACCTTGCAGAAACACAAAAGGGCTGAGGAAGCCTTATCCAAAGGGAGAATTAGTCACAATAAGTGATATGAGAAGCAATGAGAGGTGCTTTTGTTGTTGTTTTCTGTTTGTTTGTTTGTTTTATGCCACTGTCTGTCTGGGAATGGAACTGCTCGCTTTTTGCCGTCTGTGCAATTCCCTTCACCCAACAGGAATATTAATCACACACCTTAGAGGTCATCTTATCCAGCTTGTTGTTTGTGGTCTCAGAGTTGAACATCAGGAACATAAAATAATATCAGAGGCTTTGGTATGATTCAGTAACTTTAAATGTAACGTGTTTTAAGTTAACATTGCACTAAGATTCATACAGAGCTGATGTTTTGATCCAATAAAACAGTTTACCTCTTGAACCCTTACAGACGCACACAATAACATCATTTTTTATTATTTGGTCTTAAATATAAATTCAGGACATTTATAAAACTGCTAATATTCTGTCTCATTTTGAGGAAAGCAGTTTATGAAATTATTAATGAATTAAATTACCATCTAGATTGATCTATTGACACTGTATTAGGATCCTTTTTCATATAAATGTATTTAAAATTTTATTTTGATGGCATATGCGTTGAATTCATGAACTTTTCTGGGAGATATTTATTTTACATTTGTACCAATGAGATGTAGTTTCACTTCCAAAGTGTCTAAACTTTACAGAAGTTGCATGTAAAATGTGATTATTGAAACAAAAATCATAATAAAAATCAGGCTGTTTGGATTATTAAGATTTTTACTTTAAAGTGAAGAAAATTTTGTTAAAATCTGTCACATACAGTATACAGCGGGTAAAATAAGTATTGAACACGCCAACATTTTTCTCAGTAAATATATTACTAGAGGTGCTAATGACATGAAATTTTCACCAGATGTCGGTAACAACCCAAGTGATCCATACATACAAAGAAATCAAACCATAAATGTCAAGAAATAAAGTTATTTGTAATAATGTGGAATGACACGGAAAAAGTATTGAACACATGAAGAAAGGGAGGTGTAAAAAGGCATGGAAAGCCAAGACACCAGCTGAACTCTCTCAGTAATTAGAAAACAAGCCTGCCCCTTGTCAGTGCAAGTTAATATCAGCTGGTTCAGTCCCAAATGATGGCCAGGTATCACACAAGAACCATCTGATGATGGGTAAAAGTAAAGAGCTCTCTCAAGACCTTCACAACCTTATTGTTGCAAAGCATAATGATGGCATCGGTTACAGAAGAATGTCTAAACTTCTGAAGGTTCCAGTGAGCACTGTTGGGGCCATAATTCAGAAGTGGAAAGAACATTATTTCACCATTAACTGACCACGACCAGGTGCTCCTCACAAGATTTCTGACAGAGGAGTGAAAAGAATTATCAGAAGAGTTGTCCAAGAGCCAAGGACCACTTGTGGAGAGCTTCAGAAAGACCTGGAATTAGCAGGTACGTTTGTTTCAAAGAAAACAATAAGTAATGCACTGAACCACCATGGCCTGTATGCACGCTCACCACGCAAGACTCCACTGCTGAAGAAACAGCATGTTGAAGCTCRTTTAAAGTTTGCTGCACAACATTTAAACAAGCCTGTGTAATACTGGGAGAATATAGTCTGGTCAGATGAGACCAACATTGAACTGTTTGGATGACAGAATACACATCATGTTTGGAGGTCAAATGGCACTGCACATCAGCCCAAAAACACCAAACCAACAGTGAAGTTTGGAGGTGGGAACATCATGGTGTGGGGCTGTTTTTCAGCATATGGTACTGGCAAACTTCATATAATTGAAGGAAGGATGAATGGAAAAATGTACAGAGACATTCTTGATAAAAATCTGCTTCCATCTACCAGGATGATGAAGATGAAACGTGGCTGGACATTTCAGCAAGACAATGAGCCCAAACACAAAGCCAAGGAAACTCTCAGTTGGTTTCAGAGAAAGAAACTAAAGCTGCTGGAATGGCCCAGCCAATCACCTGACCTGAATCCAACAGAAAATCTATGGAAAGAACTAAAGATCAGAGTTCATAGAAGAGGTCCARGAAACCTTCAAGATTTGAAGACTGTTTGTGTGGAAGAATGGGCCAAAATCACACCTGAGCAATGCATGCCACTAGTTTCTCCATACAGGAGGCGTCTTGAAGCTGCCATTGACAACAAAGGCTTTTGTACAAAGTATTAGATAAATTTCAGTACGTGTGTTCAATACTCTGTGCCATTCCACATTATTACAAATAACTTCATTTCTGGACATTTATGGTTTGATTTCTTTGTATGTATGGATCACTTGGGTTGTTACCAACATCTGGTGAAAATTTCATGTCATTAGCACCTCTAGTAATATATTTACTGAGAAAAATGGTGACGTGTTCAATACTTATTTTACCCGCTGTATATTTGTTCATCAGACCTGTTTGAGTTTGTATGTTTTTTGTTTTTAACTCTGGTATTGGAGGTGGAAACTTATACTAAGTGTATAGGAGACCGCAGACATCAGATGGATAGATCCACTGGTTACATTATCAGCCAGGAACTGATCACTAACCCATCAGTTGAGACTGCATGTGACAATATCCAGTGTCAGAGTGTCCCAGAGTGGCCACAAACCTGGACTGTACCAGGCGCTGACCCCACTCTAAGATGGACTCCATGTATCCCTATACAGGACAACCTGTGTTAACGGCAGTGTTGTATAAAGTACCTCAAAGTGATACTTAAATAAAAGTACAAGTATCTTATCATAAAAATACTTTGGTAAAAGTTAAAGTCTTCTCTAAAAATATTACTTGAGTAAAAGCCTTAAAGTATCAGATATTTTTTGTACTTAAGTATCAAAAGTAAATTTCTGACACAAAATCTATTTAAGTATTAAAAGTAAAAGTACTGAGTAAAAGTGAGCAGTAAGATTTTCCAAAATGACATTTATTGGGAGGTGACTTCTCCAAAAAATATTTTTTTCTAACGGCGTGCAGCTGTGATGGGTTGTGTACAAGTTAAAAGGGTATCAGAATGGTATATATATATACTTCTCATCCAACAACAATTAAATTCACTCTATCCAGGAGACACAATTTATCAGGATAGCATTTTTTAAAGTAACAACTCAGAATAAAATAGGAGTAACGACTTTCAACTTCTTACCTTTTTAAAAAATGTAGTGAGTAGAAAGTACAGACAATTGTGTAAAAATGTAATGAGTAAAAGTAAAAAGTATGCTGAAGAATAATTACTCAAGTCAAGTACAGATAACCAAAATTTCTACTTAAGTACAGTAACAAAGTATTTGGTTACTTTACAACTCTGGTTAACGGGCCTGTTAACAGTTCCTCACCAGCCTTGAAAGAGTAGAGCCTTAAATCCTGGGAACATCCAGTTTGAGTGGAGAGGAGGCCATATTGAAGCCAACAAATTGAGCCAGAAGAAATGTCGGGACTGAGCAGTTTGTTCTCTTTAAGACATGAGCAGGAGGAGTCTAAGATTTTATCTTTTGATGGATAATTATCACGGGATATAAAGGCCTATGCACCGGCATTTGTCCTAGTTAAAGATTTCTTTTAAAAAATTTGGGGCTCTTCCTTGTAGCTCATGAACTGTGCACTATGTTATGGACACTAAACACAAGATGCAATTTTTAATGCACATCACATTTCCGTTCATTTATTTAAAAGAACAGGGCGCATCGATCATGTTCCAAGAATTGTGCCAGAATATAGCACAAAGGTAAATTTTCATCCACCGTCCTTGTATTATTCTTCACTTTTAATGAAGAATTTACCTGCATGCACTAAACTAAGCTTCTGAGTGTTTCTGCGTCTTGGTAAATTCTTTACTGGTTTTGTCTGGGCACCATTAAAAATCATACAACAGGTAACTTCAAGTTTTGGAATCCTGCCACCTTCCAGCTTCCATCCTTATTTAATACATTTTATTTAACCAAGCAAATCCATTTGAGATCGGATCTCTTTTGCAAGGGAGGTCTTTAGGTACATGATTGAGCAAAATGGACATGGTTCTTTGAACTACTAACACCATGTCTCCAAAATTACAAGCAAATATTTAGTATTTATTTGCAGAAAAGTTAAAATGGTCAAATGACTAGGATGCACTGCTTTCAGACCTAAAACAAAATGCAAAGAATAAAAGTTTTTATTCAGTCAGAAACAAAAATACTAATGTTTGAACTCAGAAAGAGTTCAGAAATCAATTGGTGGAATGCTTTCCACCAAATACAGAGAAACTCTGCAGTGGTCTCTTAATATTTTTCCAGAGCTGTATGTTTAAATAAAACATTTTTCATGTTCAGATTTTAATAATGTAACTAAATCCAAGTGGTCATTATTATGTAAAACACTATTTTTTTCTGAACCAGCAGCCCTTGTAATAAAATTAATTAATATGCATTAAAATAAAAAAACGGAAACTGTGACTTAATTTATGATGCATGAATTAGTTTTTAAATGAAAAAAATAACTACGGACACCATCTCAATGCATCTTACAAACGAATCTGTTTATTAATAACTAACTAAAACTGCAATAAACTTAATTCATTTCAACATATTAGAATACATTGATATTTTCACACCCAAATATATTTTTAAGTAAAATAAATGAATGACTAATGAATGACTTGTTTTACATGTTTTAAGACATTTCCTGAATGATAAAACATGAAAAAGGAATAACAT